TATGTAAGCAGTGTCTAACGCCTTGGTTGAGCAATGCATTAATTATTGTTTGCTGGAATACTGAGTCAAACACCTTCTCATAATCAATGAAATCCATGCACAGAGGCATGGTGTACTTGTGCCTTTCAATGACTTGTTGAACACCTTGGATGTGATCCATTTTGCTGTAGCCACTTCTGAACCCTGCCTGCTCCTTTGGCTGTGTATCATTTAATGTTCTCAATATTCTTTTTGCTATAATATTGGTGAAAACCTTGTGGATGACTGAAAGAAAGCTTATTGGGCAATAGTTCTTTAAATCATCTTTGGGCCCCTTTCAGCATTTTTCCATGCATTGGGTATTTTTTCTTCTCTGAGGCATCTTGAGTATAGTTTTGCTAGTATCTTGCATAAACTGTGACCAGCGGCTTTCAGCATTTCAACCTGTGAAATGCTGAAAACACAGGTATGTACACATATATAAGATATACATAAGCATTTCTGACATAGTGCATGTAATGTTTTCAACAGCATTCATCATTGCCATCTAAAAAATTTGTGCTGAATAAGAAATTGAAAAAGTTGATCATTATCACATTTTTTTTTAAAAAAATCTCTTACAATAATAATGATACTGAAAAAATATATTTTTATGGGAAAATTGCATATTCTTCTTGTCTTAAACCAGCTTTCCAAAGTTCCCTTTTCAACATCAAAATTTCAGATCAGGGCATTATCATAAATAGCTTGGATTGGATTTGACTATGAGCAGTAATTAGATGTATTAGATGAGGCCAGTTGTGATGACAGTGGTGACACCATGAGATCCACAGTCTAGTATTTTATCTGGGGCCTTGGCTTGGCCACATCATTTGCATTATCAGTGGTGATAGCATCAGCTGGAGTTGGATGTTGGAAGCTGAACCAGAACTGAGATTAGAACCTTGGCCTGCTCTGGAGAAGCCAGATGAAGGCTCAGCAGTCTTTGATACCATTGACCATGGTATTCTTTTGGGCCAGCTGCCAGGCTGAGGATGGATGATCCAGTTCTGCACTGCTTTAGCTCCTTTCTCCAAGGTCAGCCTCAATTGGTGTTGATAGGAAATCAGAGATCCAGTTCCCAGCTGCTCTGTTGTTGTCAACGCTGCATGACACATGACAGTTGTGGCATGCCACAGGGTTTGATACTCTCTCCATTCCTGTTTAACATCTACATAAAGCTGCTAGGTGAGATTATCCACCACTATGTTTGAGATATCAATATACTGATGATACTCAACTTTATATCTTCACATCTGGTGACCCAAGTAATGCTATTGCTGCCCTCTCACTGTCTGGAGGCTGTAAGATCAGGGTCTTTGACATCTTTAGCTCTGGACAGGGTTGCACTATCCCATTCAGACCCAGTTAGTAACTTAGGAGTTCTCCTGGACTCAAAGTACAGGTAGCGGTCGTGGATAGGAGAGCCTTTGTACAGCTTCAGTTTGTGCACCAGATGCATCTTTTTCTGAATCAGGATTCCCTGCACTTGGTCTCTCAAGCCCTAGTCATCTCTCATCTGGATTTACATTTTACAACATTTTTAGGGGGCTATCCTTGAAATGCATTTCAAAGGGCTACTCTTGAAATGCATTCAGAAGCTTCAACTAGTGTGACACTACGAACAATCTTTGGGGCCCCTAGAATAGCCCATGTTATACTACTGTTTCTTAATTTGTATGGGCTATTGTTTTGTTTCCAGATGAAGTTTAAGATGTTGGTTATGATCTTTAAAGCCCCCCATAGCATGGGTCCAGGTTGCTTGGTGAACTGTCTTGTCCTTCTAAGTCAAGCCTGCCCTACTTGTGCCAGCAGAGGAGGTCTGTTGCAGATCTCTTCGGTCAAGGAACTCTGGCAGGTGGAATCCAGGATAAGAGTCTTCTCTGCTATAGTGCCTACTCTCTGGAACATCCTATTCCCCAGGGTGGGGTCTGCTCCCACCCTTCTATCCCTCTGCAAAGGCCTAAAGACTTGATTTTTCTGGTTATTTTTGGGATATGATACTACCACATTGAAGGTGGCTGCTGTTCCACTTAGTGACCCCACCTCTCTTTTCTGCTTCTTGCTCCTCTTCCAACATCTTTTAATTCATATTATTGTACTTCCAATTGTTTATTCTTTTTGTTTCATTGTTTTGCTATCATCATGTTTACATTTTTTCCATTTTAGTGTTATAAACCATCTAGAGCAGTGGTTCTTAACCTTTTTGAATGAATTGCCCCCTTGAGCCAATGAGGAAGTTGTCATCGCACCCTCCCCCAACATAACCTCTCAATCACAACATAGGAAATAATTCTTCAATTTATGCAAACACTTTTTTTTGTTTTCTTTAAAATTGTCATCAGGACATATGATGCAAATAATTTATTTCCAGTCTTTTTCCCATATCTTCCATATTCTGGCCAATGGCGCACCACTGTATGGGTAGAGGCTGCTGCGCAACGCGCATGAAGATAAGCGATGCATATTCACATATGTATGGCGTTCTGTATTAAAGCTAGCTGGAGGAACATTTGAAAACACAATTCAATCCACTAAGAGCGAGCAATCTGATGTTTTTGTATGACAGATATACAGCAATTCACTGTACAAAAAAGTCTCAAAAGTGTCCCCAAAACATCTCGCTCCATCACCCCCATGTCGCCCCCTTTTCATTCCTTCACCCCCGCATCACCCCTTTTCGTTCCATCGCCCCCCCGAAAAACAAAATTGCCCCCTGGGAGGCGATATCGCCCAGGTTAAGAACCACTGATCTAGAGTACCCCCACGGCAAGATGGGCAGCAAATAAATTTAACATACAAACAAATAAATATTGGAATGAGGTTTTTTTTAAAAAAAGAGAAAATTGTTTTACATATACTTTAAAAGAGTTTTCTTCCTACATATATTTAAATATTTTATTTCCACAAAGCAATGCATAGTTACCAAGTAGTAGCCTGTTCAGATTGCTGTTTCCCCTGTTGCGCTTTTTTTTTTTTAAATCCTTCTTACTGGAGCCAGTGAGAATTTTTTTTTTTTACTTTGTTCTAGAATTACTGAGTGTAAATTTGCCTTTATTGTCTTGCTAAACATGCTTTGAAATTGCATGGATGCTACCCCCATCCTTTCCTTGACATTCGCTCATTTTAAGAGTCTTCTGATGACAGAAATGCCAGCAGAACAGCTTTATCACTGGAGTCTTTCTAGATGAATGTGTGAAATGCCTCCATTTGAAAGCACTGTATTTCAAGTAAGGATCGATGATATGAATATTTGGTTTGTACATTTTTATTAGTGATGGGTCTATTACTCATCAATTAGCAGCTTATTTTTGCAGTTATTGAATGATGAATGATATGTGTTAAATTTTGGGCTTGTTGTTTTAAATAATACACAAACTATCTTACTCACACATTCTCACTATTGTATCAATATACACAATAACCCTGTCAAAAGAGTTTGCTTTGCTGATTCTGTCTTTAATAAAATGTCTACAGTGTCTGTTCCTCATACAGGATTGTGTACATGGATATACTGTATATTGCCTTCCATGCATCCATACACACACATTGTCAAGTAACCACAAGATGCTTTTGAGTGAAAAAAAAATTCATCTGATACAAAGTAGATACTTGATCTAAGACTAAAATAATATTATAAATTCCAAAACTAATTGTTTTCCAGATGTATAAGAACCTTGGAAGTACTAGTGCTTTCTAATCTGTAGAGAAGTGGAAAATTAGGGAGGCAGAACAATACTTGATTATAGTTGCTATTTTTCATTGATCAGTAAAGCATTTTTATCAATAATGATTTCAGGTGGACTGTGATAGCCCTTCAAAATCTAATTAGCATAAAATGCATCAGATATGGCCTACTGACAGTTTTTCTCAAAATCTCAATGTGTTAAACTGGAACTGTAAGCTTTACATTAATCTTCAGAATCTTAAATAAGGATTCCATTGACCACAAACTTTAAACAACCTCTGCTTTTTTATCTATGAAAGAATGAAGTGAATCCCATTTGATTGGTTTTGGATAAAATGGCTACTATGTAAAGGACACATGAAGCTGTATTTTCTTGAAGGTTTTACACAGCATGTTTTTAATGTGAAGTCATTTGACGAGTTGACCAGCCATTATATAATTTCCGTCCAGCAAACTGTAATGATGCCAGAATGATAGCATGCATATTGCATACTTGCATCCTGAAATAAATAAACAATGGCATTTGCATGATGGTAAGATCATGTAATCATCTTTCTTTCCCTTACAAATGTCATTGTTTTTTTCACACTATTTCAGACTGAACCAGACTGATGTTGCAAATTAGAAGGAAATAACAATGGAAATATCTGTGCAACCTACTGTAGAGTTGCAATACAGAATTCCAAATAAGTCCTATAATTGAGAGTCTTGAAAATGTGTCATAACTGCATAGAACTCTTCTATGCTTTGAAGTTACAGTCAGCTATAATAAAGTAGCCAGCCCTTAGTTTCTAAAGAAATTAAGCTAAGAAGTTCATCTCTTACACAGTAATAACCAAATTGAGTTGTCAATAATTGCCAACCATCAGTACCAAACATATAATAAAAGCTCTGTTTGGCAGTAACAATTTTTGAGAAGGTGCATTTTTTTTTTTTTGACAAGCAGTGAAAATTAAGATGACAGCAGTTAGACTCAGGCTAAAATATTGACTTAACTGCCGAAGGCTGGTGATGAGCCAAAGATAAAAGTTCTGTATTTCATTAAATTATATTATGTTTTTAGTAAAATGAATCCCACTTATTGAACACATTAGGTACAAATTCATATTGCATCAGATAGGCAATATCTGTTTTAATAATAGCCACTGACAAATATGTTTCAGATTTTATGATTACATCTGTAATATTCAATGTTCTTATTAGCAAAACTCTCTTCATTCTGTTTGGTAATTTTCAAGGGGAAGTTATTTTCATTTATTTGAATTTCAATGATTCCTCTCTTTCATTTTGGCAGAATCTGTACCAGAACAGGATATTAGGCCTGGCTGCTATGGCATCCCCATCCAGGAATTCGCAGAACCGGCGTCGGTGTAAAGAATCTCTGAGATACAGCTATAACCCAGACCAATTCCACAACATGGACATTGGAAGTGGGCTCCGTGGGACAGTCACTATTCCACGCTCGACCAGTGACACAGATTTGGTCACTTCAGACAGCCGGTCTACACTCATGGTCAGCAGTTCCTATTATTCCATAGGACATTCACAAGATCTAGTGATTTATTGGGATATAAAGGAAGAAGTAGATGCAGGTGATTGGATTGGCATGTATCTCATTGGTAAGTCAGCTCTATTTATAGGATTTGTTATAACTTAATTTTGCAAATAAAACATGTATTGTAAAGCAGATTTATTTCAAGTTAAATGTAATCCATAATTTACTCCAGTAAAGAATCTACAAAAAACCCCTGAAAAGATCCAACTAACTCTGAGATGACATCTGGTGCCTAAATCTGAGACAGTAACCTGCTATTCTTTAAAAGAGACCTGTTGACAGCTTTGAAAATAGATAAAATATAAAGCAACCTTGAAGCACTAGCTGCAAGAAACCCAGCTCAGCTCCTCACTTGGTGGACTTTCTGACTGTAAGTTTTTTTTTAGTTTAATATACTACAAGGGAAGAAGAATAGGAATGGATTTCTCCTACAGAGGAAGAACAGGAACAGATTATTTGTATGTTAAAAACAATTATCCAAACTCTCCGTATAAGTCTGGATATGCAAACTCAAACTATGACTTCAACCAAAGAATCATCTATACAGAATTCTATAGAGAAAGTGAAACAACTAAATGCTATGACAGAAGACTTAGATACTCAACAAATACAGATAATGGAAAACACAAAAAAGAAACTGATAATAGAGAACAAGGAAAGAACTTTTCTTATAAACCAGAAGGAATTTGAAGATAAAAAAGAAAAACAGATGAAAGAGAATATAAATACTTTGGGACAACTGCATCAAACTGGAAAAACAAAGAGATGACCTGATAAATCAGCTAGTCCTCTTAAGAAAATATCAACTGGAAGCTTTTATCAACATCAAACAATAGCCACAACAATACAAGGAGATCTTTTTGATGATTTAAAAGCAAAGATACGAAAGATGACTTGGCAAAGGAAAAAAGCTAGAATAAGACTGAAAAGGATTGGTGTTGCAATCTACATATGAGATCTAAAATAGAATATATCCAAATGGATAGAATATGTATTCTGAACATAAGATATTGTAATGATTTGAGATAAAGAAAATTTTGGTTATATAAAATCTAGAAGTATAATTATTGAAATAAGAATATTATATTGTTTTATTAGTTTGTTAAGATGGTAGGATTTATATATAAGGTGTGTATTTTAAATATTAGATTGTATGAGGAATTGTGATAAAGGAATTGTGCTTAATTTAAAAATCTGGAAAAAAATATTAAACATTAAATTAAAATATTAAGGGAAAATTAATTATCAGGTCACTGGCTAAAAATTTGAATGTTTAAAAATAAGTAAGATTTGAATTTAAGATATTGTTATGAGTTGAGACAAAGGTTAAGTAAAACTTAGAAGTATAAATACTAATAATTAAATTTGTATATTGGTTTGAGGTACAAATGCTGAGAGGGGTTTTTTTGTTTTTGTTTTCTTTTGGAAAGGAAGGAAGGAAGGAAATAGAAAGAAGAAGAAAAAAATATTATTATTAGCCCCAAATATGAGATAGGAGTTAGAAATCGGATCATTTAAAATTTGAAAATGATAAAGATTAAACGTTAAATTTAAATATCAATGGGAAATTAAAGTTAAGAAAAACTTACTAGGTTATTGTCTAAAAGATGGAATGTCAAATCAATTAGGGTATGTATAGACTGAAGATTATTGACGAATACTAGAAAGGTATTTTCTGTTTGATTAATAGAATAAGAACTGTGTTGGTCCGAATATGAGACAGTAGATATTATGGGGGAAAGAGGGGGAATTAGCTGTTGTAATACTTTGAGATTTGTATTGATGATATTCAAATGTAATGGAACTACTGTGCTCAACCGCCCCACTACTTTTCAATTATGTAAATAGTTTGTACTTATAACTGGTCACCAAGGACCCTGCGATCACGTGACTGCCATTTGCAACTTTCCATGCCAACTTCCCCAGAAAGTCAAAGGGGAAGTCAAAGGGGAAGCTGGCAAGGAAGATCTCAGGTTGTTGATGTAAGTCTCCCCCTCATCTGCCCCCTCATCTCCCCCAACCCCTGTGCACTCACACAGGACTGGTGACTTGCACAACCTTTGCACAATCTCCAGAACCCACATGATACCTCTCATACCATCCTTGACAGGACCGCTCATACCTTTAGTTAACAAGTGCAACCAGGACCGCAGGGATTGCTGTTACTAAGCTATGCAGTTGCACTTTACAATGGCATTGCTTAAAAATGGAAATTCCATTCCCAACTGCCATTGTAAGTCAAGAACCACCTGTATCTTCCATTTGGGAAAGACACACTTAAATACAGCATTGCCCATAGAAATATTAGAATATTTTCTGTACTGTAAATAAAAGCAAGGATCTTTCTGGTAGATGTCCCCATATTTCTAAACTTACTGTCAACTTTAATTATGCAGGTCTAAGATATATAAATGACTGCATCTATTTGCAACCAAATTGACCTGTTATATATCTAGACATTAGCATCCATATTACTTTTTTCTGGGCCATTCAGATAGATTGTAAAGTGTTGATTATTTATTCTGAAAAACTTCTAGCTTCTCTGGATAAAAGAACTACTTATTTTTATTACCTTTTTCAAATGAATGAAATTCATAAACTCTTGTGCTATTTTAAGAGTTTAAAAATTTTACATCATGGAGGGAGGAAGTCAGAGAAAGAGAGCAAGAGAGAGAATTTTGTGAACACTGAGGAATGATATGTTTCAAGATTTCCAGGGAAGAAGTGATTAATCAAAGATGGAATTACTTTTTGTAATTCCTCTCCAGATAAAGAGAAGACCTAAGATTCACCACAAGTGTTCCATAAAGTTGCTCCTCATGAGCTGATTTCAAGACAGAAGTTTCTGGTGGCTTTAGAGTTTGGGAGATAAGGAAATAGAAATCTTGCTCTATCACTGGGTTGTCATATTTCTTTTGTAATCAGTTTTAGAAATTGCTTGTTAACTGCTTTTCAACTATTAGGATATTCTTCAATCCTTAGTAAAAAAAAAATTAAATACCAGTTTAAGGACTTTAAAAAAAAATCAGGAGTTAAAACAGCAAAAGATTGTTACAACTTTGATTCTGAAAAGTGACACATGGAAATAAGATCATGGAATTAATTTGAAGACTTATATAAGGCAATGCTTTGGTTTTGAATATTCTTAAAAAATATGATAGGATGAGAATTTAAAGGTTGTTCACTAGAAGAAATTAAAGATTATAATTAAAGGAGAAGAACACTTAAATTTGACTTACTATTATAGAATGAAGCAAAATATTTTAACTTTGAGACATACTGAAGGATATTTTTGAACTATGGATCCAAAAGTTAATTTTAAGAGTTTTTGCCTCTATAGATAACTATGTTTAAAAGTTGTTATAGAAGTTGAATTTTATATGACAAAATTGAGACTGGTATTAAAGTACATTTAAAAATGACAGGTTATAATAATGATACAGAAAATGATGCTACACTGGACATACAAAAGAAACCAACTAATGTCTTAATCATTAAAAGGAATATACCAAATAAAAAAGTAAGAGAATGACTTGCATAATTTTCTTATATTAGATTTACAAGAGAGGCTTGCCAAAATTTTGAAGAATTCTGTGAGATGGAACAAAGAAAAAAATAAAAACAAATAAAGTTCCTAGGACATTGGCAGACTTCTCTCCCTAGAGCAGTGATGGCGAACCTTTTAGAGACCGAGTGCCCAAAAACTGGCCCCGCCCCCACTCTACCCCCTACCCCGCCCCTGCCCTGCCCCCACCCTGTCCCCCACATCCCCCACCCTGCCTGCCCACAGGGCCACTTACCGCCTCCAGGGCCTGTGACAGATCGCCCAGGCAGCCCAGGCAGCGCCATGACGACCACGCCCTCTGTCTGCGCCCTGCAGCATCAACTGTGCAGGATGGGGTGTGAGGGCAGAGTCTTGTCTACGCTGCCTGGATGCCATGTCCTTGGCTGTGCTGCTCCATGTGGGCCATGCTCGGAGTCAACTCTCCTCCATGGGGGCTGCTGGTGAGGAAGGGGTCATGGGAGAGGCGAGACTGTGCCCACAGAGAGGGCTTCTAGTGCCGCCTCTGGCACGCGTGCCATGGGTTTGCCACCATTGCCCTAGAGAGAAGAGGGAGCTGAAATCTAAGCAGAAAAAGAGAGAGGGAGGCCCTGGAAGGCCCAGCCCAGCCCATAAGTGAGTATCTTTCCCTTGGGAACTGAAAATTCTGTTCTGATTTAGGCAGGAAGGATTTTTAGCTCCTAATCAGAACCTTCCAAGGGTCTCCCTCTCCCCAGGCACCCCACTCTGCTTACCTGAGACTATGTTCACTTAACAACCTAAAAGATCACTTAATGACTGCAAATGGGAATGCCAGGATTGTGATAATTGAGCAAACCAGTTACGTGGGCAGTTATATGACATTTTGCTTACTGACTGCTTGGCTTAACTGAGTTTGTGGGCTCAGTTGTACTCAAAGTTGAGGACTGCTTTTTCTTTTTTATTACTACTTTTATTACTACTTTTTATTACTACTTTCTTATTTTTTTATTTTTATTTTAGTTTGCATTAGTTTTATTTACCATTATTACTGAAAGATACAATTGTAATTATTTTAGTAATATTTCATATTTAGTAATTATAGTAATAAAAACTACTATTAAAAATATAAAAGAAATGGTATGCATGCCAAAGTCCTTTGTGATAAAGGAAGTGTGCATGCATGAAGAATTTTTTTTTGTTTAGTTAATTTGCCTTAGGATTCATGCTAATTCTATTTTAATTAAAAGATAGTAGTAGGTTTTATTTATTAATTTAGTTATAAAATTTATTGCCACCAACCTTACCTCAGGGTAACTCTGGACAGTTTACAATTATACAAAATATTTGCCTTTGATTCTCCTTTTGCTGTGAAATAATCAAAAATTTTTCTTTGTGTGTGTGGTTACTTTCCAGATGAGGTTCTATCAGAAAACTTCTTGGACTACAAAAATCGTGGAGTAAATGGTTCTCACAAAGGCCAGATTATCTGGAAAATTGATGCCAGTTCTTGCTTTGCAGAATGTAAGTATCATTGCTCTTCCTCACTAATTTAATGAACATTCATAGAGCTGGGCTTGCAAAGCAAATCAAAATTTGGGTACTCTTCTATACACAGGTGTTGCATTATTCCTGAAGTAACTTTTAAGTGCTTGCATATTCTATCTCTAAAACTGAGGAATATAAATAGGTATAGGTTGGGCCAAGTATACTATAAGAAATAATAACAACAACAAAAGCAGAAAATAATAAAGCAAGGACACTGCTATTTTGGAAAATGACCAAAAATACTAGGTTAGATTTAATGGTACCTATATTATTAATAATGAAAAATTTGCATATACAGTATAATTGAATTTAAGATCCATCTTAGACTTCAAGGGAAAGCTTTCCAAACTTATATCTCTTTCGGCTAATAATTACCCTAACCTTCAGCCCACAGAAAACATTCCCAGCCCAACTGGACTTGCTCTATGAAAACTCTTAAAATCTGTTGTCACATGTACTGACTTGATTTGTCATAATTTCTACTAGTTGCCTTGGCATTGATAGTATGGAGATGCTACAAATGATGTGAAATATTCTCCCTTCATCTCCACATTGTTCCAGAATTATTAATAGGGAAGGGAAGGCATTGGAAAATCAAGATCAATGTGACAAATTATTCTTCTTTCTTTTTCTTTCCTTTTATATATTTGAATTCAATTGGAAAGAGGATTATTGGCAATGTGTACCTGAAATAAGTTGCTTCTCAACTATGAAACTTAATTTCTTCCTTCCTTCAGTAAAATAAATAAAGACTCTCTCAAGATAATTTATTAACCAACAATATTGACTCAATTGAATGGCTTCCTTTCTTCTTCTAGATTTTTTTTTCCTCCCAGCTTCTTAGGATAGCCTAGCAATGGTGATCACTTAAGGGCTATTCAATTGTTTTCTCCTGCTTTTTTAAAAAAAAATCTAGTGGAGTCTATCTTACACAATACTTAAATTATATTTAGATACTATGTGTAATTACAAATAATGAAAACTGTGTCTCTTCTAATTATAAAAATGGGAAAGGCCTAAATTTTGAATAAAGGAGATTTCTTTATTTAGCATTATTCTTCTGTAATTGTTTCTTAAAATCATTGTACTGGAAGATTTTGCCATATGCTGCCAGCTTGTCCAAGCAGAGGAGAAGCAATTACTGACAATAATCCAGCTTCGCAATTTTTTGTATAGAGAAAAGCTCTGTGAGACTGCACCCTGGAGTTGCTTCTTTAATTCGTTAGGCAAGGTGACAGCTGGCTTGCCCAGACACAATAAGGGTGAATTTTTGTGCATATTTGTACAGGCAAAGCCATAGCCCTGTCAAAATTTTCTCTGGATTTTGTTTGCATAAGGCATCTGTCAAAATAGGTGAAAAATGTTTTAATAACATTAATACTAATAGTAATACTATTAGATTTTTTTAGTGAATTGAACAGATCTATTCTCTTAGATAAATGTGGAGATCACAATTAAATTATCTATTACATAAAATGTACTGAGAAAAAAAGGTATCATTTAGTTTTTAAATAGTGATAGAATCAAAACTTTATTAAATCATTTGACTATGTCAAATATTAAAAAATAATACAAATAAACAAAGAGATATAAAGAAAACAATAGGATATATTCATAGCAAGTCATTATTCCTACAGTTAACCACTATCTGATCTAAAAATTCTGTCCTCTTCGAAATGGTCTTTGAAATAAAGAGTATACAGTCTTACTAATGATTTGCAGGTTTATTCCCTACAAAAAGTAAGAATTTTTAGATTAGGTGCCCCAATAATTTTTAATTTAAATAAGAATGTAAGTAAATAGCCCTTTCTACAGAGTACAGTTTGCAGTCAAAAAGATGTGTCTAATGTCTTCCATGGTTGGTGGTCCACAAATGCAGACTCTTTTTTCAAAGGAAACTCTATGAAATCTCCCAAGTCTTATTGTGGAGTGCGGTTCTTCAAATCAAATTCTAGAAAAAGCTCTTCTCAGAGGCATGTAAGTTGTTAAATATTTTTCTAACTGGGAAGCTGTTTTGTATTGAGCCAGACACTTTAGACACTTGACATATTTAAATGCTCAATACCATCTTGGGCAGCCACATCAATAACTCTTCGTTTGAAAGCTTCCTTCATCTTTAGATCTTTTAGGACTGGGAATTGGATGGAGAATCTGCTTTTCAAAACAGAGCTTGGGTAGCCTATCTGGGTCCATAGACAAGATCTTCAGCTAATAATTGAATGCTTAATTATTCTATGGAGGTATACCCAACTATAGGGGACGTACCTAATTCTTTTTTTAAAAAAATATATTTTATTAGATTTTATATGGGTAGGGAAAAGGTAGGGTCGGTGCGGGTACAGGAAAATCAGGATAAAAGGGACAGGGTATTGATAACTACAGTAAATACGTAATTGAGTGAACAAGCTGTCATCCGGGTCTTCATATTAACTATTATTGTTTATATAATACTAGACATTTATAAGAATAAATCGGTATAGTTACAACTGACATTTGGTAAAACACTAATATTCCTTTAAATAATTAACATAGTTGATAGCATAACAACTATTTCCAATCATCAACCTTAATACTTAATATAATAAAACTCTAAAATCTCTTTTTATTCTAACGTATTTCAATCCACTGATAAAATTTTCCCCAGGTTTTAGAAAAGATTGAATCTTCTTTCTCCTTCATCTCTAACGTTAATCTGTCCATTTCTGCACAGTCTAGGATTTTCAAAATTATAATCTGGTCTGATGGTAGGTTTTCATTTTTCCAAAATTGGGCAAATACTATTCTTGCAGCTGTTAATACATGTAATATTAAATAATCATTTTCTTTGCCATAATTAGGTCTTAATATACCTAACGGGAACAGTTCCGGTTTAAATTCTATCTGGATTTTCATCATCTTTTCTAACCATCTATGAATCTTAGACCAATATTTTTTTGCAATAGAACATGTCCACTATGCATGATAATAAGTACCCGGTTTTTGCTTACATTTCCAACATGTATCCGATAAAATTTTAAACATCTTCGCTTAGGGAACTGGTGTCATATGCCATCTATAAAATATTTTATATAAGTTTTCTTTGTATGTTACTGCTTTAGTAAATTTAATATTTTTATCCCACAGTTTTTGCCAGTCTTCTAATTCTATAGAATATCCAAAGTTCTTTGCCATACTATCATTGTCTCTTTTACTTGTTCTTCTTCCATCTTCCAATTTAATAAGCATTTATAAAGCTTCTTAATCAAATGTTCATCTGTTTTTAAAAGTGTTTTATCAAGTGGAATCAGCTCTTTGTAAAATCCCATTATTTTTATGTCTTTTTCATATCTTGTTTGAATTTGCAAAGAGGACCACCATGTTAAGTCAATACCTTGTTGTTGAAGGGCTTGCCTGTCTTTGAGTTTTCTGTCCTTGTCCAAAATATCTTTATAACTAACAAGTTTATCATAGTTAATCAAATTCAGGTAAGCAAATGCTTCCATCGTTGAAAACCACTCAGGAATTTTCATATACATTTTGTGTCTAACTTTCTCCCATTCAGAAAGTAAAACATTTCTTATAGCATGGTTTTGAAAGTACTTATGTATTTTAGCTTTCTCGTACCATAAAAAGGCATGCCAGCCTAGTTGAAGGTCATATCCCTCTAAATAGAGAATTCGCTTATTTCTCAGAGTAATCCATTCTTTAAGCCAAAACAAAATAGCTGCTTGATAATAAAGTCTCCAATCCGGAAGTCCAAAACCCCCTCTATCTTTCGAGTCTTGTAGAAGACTCCATTTAATTCTTGCTTTCTTTCTTTGCCATATAAATCTTAACATCAATGTGTTTAAATCGTCAAAAATTTCTTACCCAGCTTTACAGGAACTGTTTGAAATAAAAAAATTAGCTTTGGTAAAATGTTCATTTTAACAGTTGCTGTTCTTCCTAACAATGATAGTTGGAGATTTTCCCATTTTTCCAGGTCGATTTTTATTTGTTTTATTAGTCTCTCATAGTTATCTTCTTTTAGTAATGAATATTTCGCCGTAAGATAGATACCTAAATATTTAACTTTTTTAACTATTTGAAGATTTGTCTTTTTGGCGAGTTGAGTTTTCTGTTTATCAGTTAAATTTTTTGTTAACAGTTTAATTTTTTCCCTATTTATTTTCAATCCAGCCACTTCTCCAAATTTCTCAATTTTCTGCAAAAGTTTAGGGGCTGTTTCCAAAGGCTCCTCTAAGATAAAGACCAGATCGTCCACAAAAGCCTGTAATTTATATTTCTGGTCTTTAATATCAAGACCTTTAATTTCTATGTCTTGCCTGATGCTTCTAGTCAATACCTCCAGAGTAAAAATAAATAGCAGGTGGGAGAGTGGACATCCCTGTCTCGTGCCTTTTTTAATATCAAAGCTCTCTGTATAGTTTCCATTTATAAGTATCCTTGCTGATTATTTCTTGTAGATCGCTTGGATTGCTTTAATAAAGTTTTCACCAAAGTCCATTTTCTGTAGTTGTTGAAACATAAATTGCCAATTTAAATTATCAAATGCTTTTTGTGCGTCAAGAAATACGAGCGCCATCTGGTTCCCTGGATGATTTTCATAATACTCCAAAATATTTAAAATAATCCTTAAGTTGCTCTTTATCTGTCTTTTAGAAAGAAAGCCATTTTGGTCTGGGTGAATAAATTCTATTAAAAAACTTTTCATCTTTCTGCCAAAATTACAGCAAAGATTTTATAATCCACATTTAGTAACGATATTGGCCTGTAATTTTTAATTTGTGTAGGATCTGTATCTTCTTTAGGTATCAAGGTAATATTAGCTTTAGTCCATGAGTTCGGAACTTTTGTGTGTATAAAAGTTTCATTACATGAGTCCTTCAGAAAAGGAGTCACAGTATCTTGTAAAACTACATAAAATTCTGCAGATAGTCCGTCCGGCCCCGGTGTCTTATCTTTCTTTTATCTTTTAATTGACTCTATGATTTCCA